TCCGAGAACACTTCGATTCGTCCGAGAGAATCTTGTAAGTGTTCGGTTATTCTGATTTCTGTTGAGTTTCTGTCGAGTAACTTCGGGCTGATCGATCTGAATTATACTGTTTCCGAGGGAATACAGCTTCTTGCCCGAGAAAAAGTGACCGGGTTGAGAGATAGCCGAGAGGTGTTGGGATTTTATCGGACCAGTCTGAGCGATAGCTGAGAATTTGCAAGTGTGTCCGAGTATCTCAGTTTCTGATCGAGAAATCACCAAGATTCTTTCGACTGAAACGTTTGTTTCTGTGTCTAAGGTGAGTGTGTGACTGTAGTCTGTATCTAGAATCGTTGGATTGCTAGGTTATCTGATTTTCATTGATTGCTTATGTAAGTTAGTGGTTTCTGCTTAGCAAGGTCAATGTTTCTGTGATTGTGAATGGTTAAGTGTGAACCGTGGTCAATACATGATGTCTAACTAGCTGTGTGAATGTCCGGATTGAGTTACTAGCTCAAGGGGATGTGTGAATCTCGCTTGGAGCAGTACCGATGCCTTGTGAGGCTTCACAAGTAGTTGAGATGATCATAGGACCGTACTGTTTTCTGTGCTTGCTTGCTAAGTGATAATGTGAATTGTATAACTGATAGTATGATGCGTTTTCTGGTACTGGCTAAAGTGTTACGGGATGACCGTATTCACTAAGTATTTATTAAATACTTATGCCTCTCTTTTTGAGTGTGCAGGTAAGGATAAAGTCCAGGGTGAGTAGCTCTGAAGACGGACTGGAAAGCAGTGAAGGAAATGGGTGGATTAGGATTGGGTTTTGGAACTCATATTCTGAGTTTGAATTTCTATTTAAGTACTTGTGTTAGTGCTTTATGAGTTGAACCGAATCTGATAAGTTAGTTTGTTATTGAGTCTGAATTCTGTTAAGTGTTTCTGGAATAATTATGCAATGAGAATGAATGTCTTTTGGTGAATCGAACTTGTTTAAGTTTAAGAAATTTTTTTAAAATATGCATGTTTTTGTATTCTGGCCGAGAGAAGACTCGGTGAGGTTCGGGCCGATCTAGTGATAGACGGTCGGGTCCTCACAGAAGCGGTCTTCAATTGAGAAGCGATTATCATCTTGTGAAATATTCTCTTAATATGTGATATATTTTTATTGGTTTATTACTTTTAATTATTTAATTTTTTTATAAGATATTTTAAAGGGTATCTGTCGTTGTGGATACTCTAAGGTGTGAAAATTTCTCAAAAGTTATTATATGAAAACGGTATATCACATTCTTTCCTCCTTTTTGTTGTTTTTTATAATTCATTGGGTAAATATCTTTTTTAAACTCTGCCGATAAGGCTGCTTTAAGATGAGTTATTTAGACCATCTCCAATAGAAGGTTTAAACAGAAGTTCTAAAAATTAAAAATAATCAAAAAGAGAAGAGAGAGAGGGAGACAGACAAGAAGTTTTAGAAACAGGTTCTGATCTTTTTAGATAATGTGTCACTATTTTAGTTGTTCATTTTTTTTTTTTTAAATTATTTTTATTTTTCAATTATATTAATAAAAAATTGTTTAGAAACTCAAAATAAAGACTTATGGTTGGAGGTACTCTTACATTTAAAGACAAACTTTTTACAATTTAAACATTTTTTATTGTTAAACTTTATATTATTTTTTCTATATTAGATTTTCTATTTCACCCCTTGTTAAATAGGTGTTTTTTTTATTTGCTACAGTGTTTTGTAGTTTAATTTATTGAGACAGATATTACATGGAGCCGGCTTTGTGGTTTGTATTCTATTCCAACATTCAATTGCTGGGAAATTTATTTTGGAGATAAGATCTTGAGATTTATAAATATAAAATGTGTTGGACCTTTAGGACCGTAAAATTGCAACGGAGATCTGGAGCGTTAGAGTCCTACATTAAGGGGTGATAGTTAAAAAGTATAAATCATGGTGGTGATAGAGATTGCGCACCGTTCAAAAAATAGAATTGGGATTTCATAGTAATTTTGTAATTTTTTTCAAAGAGATCATTGAAAGCCACAATTTGTTCCATTACTTGCATATCTGTTTCTTTTTCTTTTTCTTTGAACTATAAAATGGATAGTAATGAGTAAATACGTAAACATGGATAGGAGTGAGTGGACACATACACATTGATATAAATGAGTGGATATGTAAAATTTTCATGTGTGTATTAGTAACTCTTTCCACTTGGTTTCAAATTTATGGATGCGCCTATTATATGTGAATGTTGAAGTGCAGAGAATATGACGTGGACATTGTAAGGTGGTTAAATAGGGTGTAGATGGAACTGTATATTGGATATTACAAAGGTGGTGTTGTTATGAAGAAGATGATATTAGAATGTGTATATAAGAGTGACCATAAATGACATTGGCGATATATAGTTATTGTTGGTATTAATGATTTGGTGAGGTCATTGTATTTAACTTTGTTGAATCTAAAAAAACTGAAAGCATAGTAACCACATGGACACGAACGCATGGAGTGAGTGTATGAACAAACCACATGGACATGATATGTGAATAGACAGAAAACTATGATTTTTTTATATGAACACGAATAGATCCACCATGGACACAAACACATGGATACATTCATTATGGAAACAAACCCATAGTAATTAAAACATTTTAGCGTACATAATATTTTAGAAAATCAGATTTTGTTAAATAAACAAACTAATTCATCTTACTTTAAATATTTGTTCGAAATGGACACAAAACTGAAAGGAAAAAATTTAAAAAATTCAACAATAGATGCATTTCTTTGTCTTCATTTCAATTAACCGTGGATGCCAAAGACACAAGCTTTACTTAGAAAATTGTTAGCCTTTGAAGTATTTTTTATAATGACTGTTTTCATACTCCAAAATCCATGAACTCTTGTCTATTGTTGGCTTTTTATACGCAGTTGGAGTGGTCGAATCTTTAGACAGATGTTCAAATTTCTCAACCTATCTACACATAGTTGTCCACAAACATCTGTCCATCGATAACTCTATTATAGTCCGAACACATGTCCATGGAAAGTCGGTTATCTTTATCAATTTCACTCTTCCCTGATTATCTAAAACAAAGACAATCAGATAATGACATCAACCACATTGCATATTCAGAATGAAAAATATTACATTGAAGACAAACAAATTATAACTTTTTTTTGTTCTGAAGAAACCTGTCTCTCTACCAAGCGATTCTAAAGACGATCTCTTCAACCTTTCTTTCTTTGTGATTTCTCTATGCTGAAATATCATGGTTTTGTGGGTTTTTGAGCATGATATAGGTCTTGTTTATAAGTTTTTTGGTATTTTGATTCTCTTCAAGTCTTTACAGATCTAGGTACGTTTGTAGCATATTTGGAGATATTTGAGCATTCTGGAGCAGTTGTGAGATATTGCTGAAAAGATGAAGTCATAGACAATTCATACGCAGGGTGTTGATCGAACCCGGTCGTGGTTACTGATAGGCTCTAAGTTTCACCTAAATAAAACTACTGCAAGTGCACAACAAAGCAGATGCAATATAAAGGGTATTGAAATCCCAAGAGACTTAAGGAAGCTACACAACAAATTCTAGATTCGAATTAAGTTAATAAAACTGAGTAAAAATAATGCAAATAAACTAAAAGGAAGCAGCAGATGATCGATTTGGGGGTTTTAAAATCAAGAAGAAAAAACGCTAGGTTTTGAAAATTTTGCAGGTTAAATACAAAATTGCATAATAAAAACTGTCAAGATGTTTATTAAGAACTGTTCTAGAACTCGAAACACAAATATAAAATCAATCAACTCTCGTCGCAGAGATTTTCTATGCCTAATCCAAGAATCCCAAATCTCTTTGCAAATTCAAACTATTCAGACAAGCAATAAGGTCATGTTTGATCTGTTCACAAAATTCTTAAATCAAATCTCTTTGCAGATAGTAATTTTGCTCATCTAAGATTAGTTCAGGCAATTAACAATACTCTTGCATCTATTAATCAACCTAAGATCAGTAACTAGGCTGAAAAGCTAAAATAAGCAATAAACACAAATCTAGATAAAGAACTAATAGATTAATCCCAACAGTAATTCAATTCTAACAATTCATAATTAACTCTTGAAAAATCCAAAACCTAACAAGCAAACATTCAGACATGGTGATTGAATAGAGATCATGAAAAAAAATAGAATGCATAAAAGAAATAAGTAAAAGATATAAAGGGGTTCAAATTCTTCTCTCAAAAGAACAGTCTTAGAATTATCTTCCCAAAACCTCTAGAACCAATTTGTCTCAAAGTATCAGTAGAAAATAAGATACAAGCCAAAGAATGGCTGAAAAATCTAAATATACAGGCTAAAACGAATTGAGGCATTTTGCATTTAATAAAACTTTTGGGCAAAAACTGCAATTCTTCTTCCATCTTTTAATAAACTCGCATGGCTTCCTCAGGAACAGGTGACGAGCGTCATTCATTCAGTTGTGACGATCATCACCAAGGCATAAACATGTCTCCTTGTTGCTGATGTCGGGAAGAACTCTTGTTTTGCTCTATAAGAATAAATGAGTTTTGCAAAACGATATAATTCACTGTAATGCCTATAAATTCAGAAGGACCTTAAATGCATAGCTACCTCGGACAAATAATTCTGTTCTGCCTCCCATTCTAACCATTGATGTAATAAACTTTCCAGCTTCTGCTTACTAGCACTGAAATATGCAGGACACAGATTTAAAACAAGCACCAACAATCATATCAAGACAGTAATGCTTGAGCATTCAAATGTTTAAAGTTACTTGTGGTCAAGTTAAGAGCCTGATTTTCAACTAACCTAGTTAAGTGTTTATAAGTAACAATAAACAGATTCCTATATTAAGGTCAAAGACTATATTTCAAGACAAGAACTTGGGGGCAAATTTTGACACCTACATGTAAGTTCGATCTTTATATACGAAATGATTTCTTGAAGTAGAGTAAATTAAAGGAGAAACAGCTCGCAGTCATATTAAAGAATCAAAATTATCGGTAACTGTAAACAAAAGCAGTACCTCGAGGGTCTCTTTTCTAGAAATTCCTCAACTTTCGAAAGAGAAGGCTTGAACAAAGCAAGTCTTGCGGCTAGAGCTTCTTCAAATGGAACAGATCCACCCATTGCTCTAAGAAAGCAATACTCAATTTGATCAGGTCAAAATGCCAAAGAAAAATCATCAGAGCTCTATTATATATTTGCCTTAAAGATGGACCACCACAAACCTGGCAGTCCATTCAGCAACAGCCTTTCCAGCTCCACAAAACTCTGCAAGCTCATCAATGCCTTCATCCACACAAACCGTGCTATCCACATCGAAGCATACCGCTTCAGCATTTCTCCAAAGATCAAGAATTTCTAATAATTCCCAAAAACCAACAACCAAAGCTACAAATTCAGATGCAAAACTCATTCCAAAACTATATAACTATAAGCAATTCAAAAGCTTTAATCAGTTTCTTATTCAATTCATCACTCTTTCTCATCATATCTCCTAGCACAAAGCAGCTCAGGCCAACAAATTGCACAACCATGTACCCATATGTTATTCCCTAAACCCAAACGCAACAGATTCTAATGTAACGAGTAATTAACCTTTAGAAGGAACAGTGTTGCCTTCGTGCCCCAAAGTCGACAACTCATGTGGCTGCACAGAAGCAATCACTGGACGGATCAATTTGGGATGGTTCATGAACAAGACACGACCTCTACAAGGAAATCTCCTTAACTCAAGACAAGAAGAATTAGCAGAAAGTGATGAGAGCTTTCTACAAGGAACCTGAAGAAAGAATTAGCAGAAAGTGATGAGAGCTTCCAATTAAAATAAATTTTGAAACTGAAATAAGAATCGGAATATTTACCAATCGATGCTAAGCACCCTTGCCAATAGGCATGATCGGAGACTTAGAGCAGCTCCAATGGTGACGGAATACATCGTGTTCGGGTCGCAGAGAGAAACCTACCACCGTGGCTAAGAGTCGTCGGAATATTCTCAACACCCGGCATCTGAGGCGACAGGTGAGATGGAGCCGCGGTGGAAACACCGTTCTGTCATGTCGGTATCAGACACTGGTTGACCCGCACCTCTTCGCTTTGACAACCCACAACTTCATCGTCACTCGATCGAGAGAAAGAGGTGAGAAATAGAGAGAACGTAGCGAAGAAACTTGAAAAAAGAATTTTATTTTATTTTATTTTTTGTCAAATAAAATTGATCAATGAAAATGAACCACGTCTGAGGTTCCTACCAATCCTAAAAACTCTATATTCAGAGTCCACTCTGATCAATTTAATTAGTTTTCATTTATTTTTTTGATTCTTTTTGTTAGAGCCTCATGTTAGGAAGCCCCATTGGAGCTGGTCTAATGCTCTAAAATCTCCAATTATACTTCATACGTACATTAAGCTGTAGGGATTCTAATATGACTCTAAAAAGACCAAAAATATTCAATGAAAAGGACTTATATAATGGTTAAAAACCATAAAAACCATGATATACCAGTTACGACTTGCTCGCGAGTTTTTAAAGAATTCCAAATATTTGCAATTTGGCCTAGAAATTTTCATTTATTTGCAAATCGTGTTTTGGACTATATATAGGTTTTCATAGCCATTGTCAGATGATGATCTTACATTCTATTGAAACTTGGAGAGAGGTAAATCCATATTCTGTTCTTTAGAGAAGAATTACTTCATGATATTTTCTCCATTCACTATGTCTGAATTATTTGCTAGTTAGGTTTTTGGTTATACAAAGGTTAATGATGAATTGCTAAAATTACAATATTATTAGAATAAATCTGTTTGTTCTTCATTTATATTGCTTTAACCCTGATTTTGGGATTAATAAGCTAAAAATCAGATCTTATGTTAATTAATAGATGCGAAAGTATTATTAATCATCATAAATATATTAGATGAGATAAATGTCTATCTGCAAAGAAATTTGATTTAGGGATTTTGTGAACAACGAACTTGAATTTTAATGCTTATATGAATTATTTGAATTTGCAAAGAAATTTGGGATTCTAGAATTTAGGCATAGATAATCTCTGCAACGAAATTTGATTGATTTTACAATTGTGTTTTGAATTCTAGAACGGTTCTTAATAAATATTTTGACAGTTTTCATTCTTCAATTTTGAATTCAACCTAAGAATTTCCCAAGGCCTAACGACTTTCTTTTTAGTTTCAAAACCTTACATTAAATCATCTGCTGCTTTTAACTAGTTTATTTGCATTACATTATTTTTTCTCTTACCTAATCTTGAATCTAAAACCTGCTGTGTAGCAAAATAAATCTTTTGGAATTCGATAACCTTTTATGGTATAATTGCTTTGATATGCACTTGCAGTAATAATATTTGAGTAGGACTTTACACCTATTAAGTTCTTGGCGCCATTGTCGATCGACAGCGTAAGTCGAAGTAAGTGCTTTTGAAAACCTGACTTTCTTTATCTTCTTCCTCATTTCTCTTCTCTCACGCAAACAAACACATTATTTCCCCAAATCAAAACTTTTGCGTTTGTTAAGGGATTTGAGTGATTCAAAAGCCTAGCTTGGACGAATTTTTGCATTCTTTCACTTTCTCCCGCTCTTTCACTCGATCTGCAAGGTATGTGACTCAAAATCCCAATTTTTAATTTTGACCCTAAGGTTTGAAAACTTGAATTTCACCTCTTTTTGCTTGATTTGTGGCTTGAATCATGCTACTTTAGGTTGTATTAGAGGAATCTGACCATGCCCATGTGATTTCACCAGCTATTTTGCAAGGATTTGAAATTTTTAATTTGATGATATAAATTGCAAAATTTTGATTTTTGAAGGGTGTTTAGATTCAAATTGGGTTTGATGTATGTTCCTTATGCTGTTGAGAATGATTGCTAATGATGATTAAGTTATGAGTCATATTTATCAAAATTTAGATTTTTGGACTAATTTTTGTGTAAATGTGTGTGATTTCTATCTTGTTTTCAGATGATTACCCGCAATAAGAAAGCACACACATGCACAGATGAAGCATCATGCTCTGGAACTGTAGTTCCCTCACATCCTCCTTCGGCAAAACGGGAAGGAAAAAGGATTTCTCTTGGGAGAGCTTGGGATGATACACCGGCTAAGAAAGTTGTCAGGGATGAGTGTGTGTACAGGGATATCAGTGAGACTTAGGATGAGTACGACACACTGTTCTACAATACGTGGTTGAAGGTGGATATAGTTCCTACGAGATTTGCTGATCCTGGCGCAATGTGGGAGCTGGGTATTAGAGAGGAGGTACTGAGATTGTTGCGCATGATTGGTTTGGGCACCATTACTACCAAGCAATATGATCTCTTTCAAAATTTAGTGCACCAATTCCTTGCCACAGTCAGAGTGTGATACCAGAACGAGACTGTGAAGAATACGCAAGAGGGTACACTCATCAGATACAAGCTCTCCATTCCTGACCTTTGTGCAATTTATGGGTTCCACAAGGAGGGCACCAGTGTATCACTCCCGCATAAGTTTCCAGATGTGCAGGATTTCTGGTCTTACTTTGGGATGGGAGGTATGATTCGAAGACCTCTACTACACAGACAGACATCAGACATCCAGTCATGTGATATGTTGTTCGCCTTCTTTCTACTATATTTATGTGTACGTCTAAGTCAGGCAAGATGAGGCTATCAGAGCTCATGCTGCTATATCATGTTATTGCGGATGTGCTTTCAAATGATTTTGAGATGGACATTGTTGTTAACATGGGGACTATTTCTAGCATCAAGCCTGAGAATGTTGGTAGTCTCTTGACCTCCATCTTTCAGCACTTTAGGATAGACACTTCCAGCTGCACAATTGTGAGCAAGTGACTTTTGCTGGATATGGAGTATCTTAAGAGAGCTACATGGATCAAGTCTGACAAACTTTGGGTTTTTTGCAGTGTGACAGGAGAGCAGTGTATGGTTCAGCTGCCTGACATGGAGCTTACTACCATACGGGGTGAGGCATTACTGCTGTGCTTTCAGCCTGACCCGACCTTACTTAGGACTACTCCACCCACACAGTGCAGAGGAGCTTCTTCTCGCGCTGGTGCTTCTTCTATTGAGGATGCACCAGTTGATGACCTTGCTGGAGGATCATCACGATGATCTAGAGCTCTTGCTACACCCCAACCGATTGGCCCTCATCAGCTTCCTATTGCTCATGAGATACTTATGGAGCAGGCTGTATTTCAGAGATATGTTGTTCAGAGTTTCTAGAGCATCTGGAACATCATTGTTGTGCTGTTGAACAGTGGTTGTGTTCGCCCTTCTACACCACCTCGTGATGATGCACCTGAGGAGGAGGACTAGTTCCTCCATCTATCATAGTTACTTTTTCTTTTCCCCTTTGGTTTTTCTTTCTCTTGAGTCAGTTTTCTGTTTTTTTATAGTCAGTTTGTCAGCTTTATATATTGATTTGGAACATATTTGGACTTATGAGATTATGCTATGAGTTATTTCTTCTAACTTGTGCATGAGTAATCTAATAGTGTAACTTTGGAGTAACTGTGATGGTACATTGTTGAGCAACATTCAGGTTTAACACTTCAAATTATGTTGTAGGACAGAGTGTCGATCGACACCACTCATATCGATCAGAACCTTTACTATGTCGATCGACACCAGACACGAGTAAAGGTAAGCACTTCTCTCTTGTTTTTTCAATCGGTTCCACTCTTTGTTTTTACCAACTTCAGACTTGATAACACTAGTGAAGTCTGGTAGAGGTACTTGCTGACATTGTGTCAGTTTTTTAGAGTCAGTCCAAATTTTTTAGTTGAGTCAAAACTTAGTTGAAACTATCAGTTTTTCTTTGAACGAACCATAAAACATATACACTTGAAGGACCATTGTCATAACAGCTGATTGCAGGTTTTACTAGGTAGAACCTTGTGAGTGGATCAGTCTAACAAAGAAAGTTCAGGTTTCTGGAGAGTTTAAAAAATCTCTTGTTAGCTCCGCCCTAATGAACTTTAACTTCTTATCTTGGTACTTGGTATACATAGAATCTGATTCCTCTTTCAGCACTATAAAGATAATGATGTAAGCATCAATTCTTATATCAAGAAGAAACACAAAGGAGAGGAGCTAGAACCTGTTTTGCTTGAAGATAAAGATCAAGGGAGACATGTAGCTGATTTCAAAGGAGCTAAGGACTTAAAAACAAAGCACTGTCGTTCTATGCATCAACGAGAACGTTCTGATCAAGCTAAACCATGGCTGGTCTAGTTTAATTCACAAGAAGACCAAGTCAAACCACTAAAACCACCAAATCACATGAATGGACCAACATTCACATTTTCAAGACCATTTATGGAAACCAGGAGCTGCAAGACATATTATTTAACCAACCCCATGTCCCATGAAGCTACTGAGAAGACCAAAACACCTTTAGTTCAATTTAAGTCATCATTTACCCAAGAAGATCCAACCAAGTGCATATATGGACCTACATGCAAGTATATGGAGCCACACAAGAAAACTGAGAATATATGTCATACCAAGACATTATATTCGCCTCCCTCAAGACCACATGAGCTTACAAGAGTCATCACACACCAGATAAATTCAGCATTCGTTCCCTTTCATCAGGAGTCAAAAAAGATTACACCAAAGAGAAGCTTTCCTTATTTGAAGATCATCACTTATATCAAACCAGAAATGAAGACCAAAGACCATCATTGCTTCAAATCTCGACATTACATTCATAAGAGGAGATCCTGATCATTCAAATCATTCTGACGACTGACGACTCAATATTCGTCCCCCCCCCCCCCCTTAAGCCAAATGACTAGCATTTTGTTCTACCAGATTTTATGCTTTATTTTTAATCTTTGTTACCATTTTATGTCTTCATTTGGAGCACTATATAAGCTCAAAGCATTGTAGATTCGAAATCACCAAGAAATTACC